AGGCGGGATCTACGGGAGATAGGTGTTGGAGGAGACTGGGTTTTGTCGGCCCAGGACAGGGTCCGGTGGAGGGCTTTGGTTAATTCGGTGATGAACCTTCGGGTTCCGTAAGCCGTTTGGTTGGTTGGGTCCACTACTTGGGAAGCCTGAGGGGAAGAGACCGCTGGGAAGACCTAGACGTAGATGGGAGGATAATCTCAGGCGGGATCTATGGGAGATAGGAGTTGAAGGAAACTGGATTTTATTGGCCCAGGGCAGGGTCTGATGGAGGGTTTTGGTTAATTCGGTTATGAACCTTCGGGTTCGGTAAGCCATGTAGTTAGTTAATTAGTCCGTACCGCAAAGAAAACAACACACCACCGTTACGAAGATCAAATGGTTAACGCTGTTCAAGGAAATATCTTTTTAAAGTAACAACCATACAAAACCTCTCTTTTTTCCCAAAATGAAGAGCTACTGATTGTTGAAGCAGGTGGAACATATAGTTACCACTGGACTTAGGAATGCCTAGACACGGGTGGAACAATATTGATTCAATTTACTGGCAGAGACAGGGTTTTTGATCTACTATCACCGTTCAAATCGGCTTTAAATACAGCTAACTTCCTATCCGATTGATATCACGAAAACGATCATCTCCAGTTTCGAGTTCCATGGAACACTGGTCCAAGGAACGCTCATGGCCTCATGAGTTCTTGTTAACAACAACGTGGGCTGGATGTCTGATCACTCTTCTGACGTCAAAGCCTCTTCGTGTTGTATTCCACTACACTCTTCTGCCGAACAGAGCTACAGCTCGCTGATGGTAAAAGTCAAACTTCTCAGGCAGCTTCAGATTTAAATTAACTACACGCGACGGTGCGTGTAGCTGTCTCATTTTCCCGTGTCAAGGTTTATTAGGAGAATCCGTAAATTAGTTCTACAGTTTATAGTTTGACGTGTTGTATGGAACTTCGGTCGCTCGGCCAAACGTTCAATACCTTCAATTTTTTTACGATACACATTCAACTCTTTTGTGTTGGTCTTCCAGCGCCGTGCATTAACCTAATAAGAGTCGATCGCTTCCTGGTTTGAATTATACGGTATGAATTGTCAAGCTCTTACAGAGCTGGGACCAAATTCACCTTTTAATCCGACTCGCGGGTAGCAAGAATATAAATGAGGGCAATTTGTTGAGACGCCACGGCAGTTTATTAAAAACGCCCCTGTAAAAAAGAGGCCTACTGCTACAAACAGGTCCAGATGTTTCTCAATACTATTCTTTAAGAGAACCAGTTATTAGTTAGATATATAGCACCGCTTTCTGTTGAGCAATGTTTCACTTCACTACCAGGTTTTAATCTTCGGTTGCGATTCTCAAGCAACCCTCCACGTGTTCGGTAGAAAAACGCGTTTTAAATCTTGACCTGACTTTGATAAATAGGCTCACAGGTGTTTTACAACGATACAAACAGAAAAATAATGACGACATTAACAACGCACAAAGGGGCCGAGTTCCGGTGTGTGAAAACGCTCAATTATGCAGATATTTTGTAGAGAGAGAGAGAGTGTACGTGTTCAAAATTTCCCTCTGTCCAGTTTCTTCGTGGTATGAGTCTGTAGCATAGAATTGCTCCCATAAGAGAAAAATGTCTGAACCTGATAAAGAAGACGTTAACAGGATCATGTAGGAAATCACATACGAGAACTTCAAAATTTGTATTCTTCATCAGATATCAATGACGACATAATACGATTAGCGAGAGATTATATACAATTTCAGTTCGGAAAACCTGAAGGCAAAAAAAAAACCACTTCGGAGACCTAGACAAAACTGTGAGGAGAATTTTAAAATGGATCTTGGAGAAATATTATGTGAATGTCGTGTTGAATATTTGCATAGTTGTTTATTTCCTGACTAGATACTGATAAAGGTCGTTAAATATATTAAAAATAAATAATATTCATGACTAAGGGATGAGAAGTTTCTAAATTGAAAGACTCGGAAAACTTTTCTTTCAACTCCTCCAATTCCGTGTCTTCCGGTCACTTGCCAGAGTCTGACTGAGGGTGGAGGCCTTTGGTCCGTTGTAAAACTAATTTATTTAATATTTGGCTCATTCTAAACAGGTAAATCAAGTATAATTCCTACCAAATTCCATATTTTCATTCGACGCTACACTAAATAATTTATTCTCTTGTGCTCTGCTGTTGATCTGCTAAGAAGTTAGAGATACCAAAGACACTTCTCAGTCACAACGAAATTAACCATCGATCTCAGAGACACGTTAATTATGTGTTTTTGTGGTAATGTTTTGTAGTAACTACCAATTTGCTTCAGTGAATTATACACGTAAGTAGGCGCACGGATGCTGTGTCTAAATTTATGCCAGTGTTATTTGTTTTGAAACGAGGAACTGGGAAGGAGCAACAAATATTTTCATAGGTGAACCTTCGTCCCACTCCGTTGTGACACCTGTGAGTGTGATATGGAGAGGAACACACATTATCTTAAATAAACAATAATAATATCACATTATTTATAACACGAGCGTTATTCATTTCTGTAAGATTACTTCAGTAATAGAAACAGGTATCGAATATGAACTCTTATCGCGTTTTCTTACCACGAATAAACTCGTCGAAAGTTGTCTTCTGGGTTGTGACGTCGTATGGACTCGATGTGTACCGTCGTTTCGGAGAAATATTTTTCCTCCATCTTCACGGCAGTGAAAATTTCAAATCTGTATCAAAAGTTCTGAATGTGTCGCTATGCGTTATTTTCACTCACACTGCTTAACTTTTAATGAAATTATCAATGAATTTCAAGATGAGGCTAAAGTTTCCGACTGTTATAACCTACATTCTCATCCTAACCTCCCTGTCTTTGTAAGAAAACCAGCCTTAAATGAAATACTTTAAGCGTCATCTCATCATTTAGCCTTATAAAAACACCCAAGATTTCTGAACACGGTTGATTCATTACGTCACTATTAAAACATACACTGGACAATTTTCTACGGTTTACTTGATACACGAGACTTGAGTTTACTCCCGTTGTCATTACCGACTTTATTTACGAAATACTGACAGTTATGAACTCGATTACGTCTGTAAGTTCACTGGCGACGGTTAGAATCAAACCCAGAACCTTTGAAATTAGGCTAGTACGCCAACTACTTTATCACCTGATAACAGACGGTTTCTCCGTGGCATCCCAACAATTACTCCATTCACACACAGAAGAAGGCAATGGCAAACCACTTCTGGATCATCTGCCAAGAACGTATATGAACAGGTCCCAGTCCGAGAAAAGGATAGAAGGATCCTGTTCATATGGACCTGTCCTCAGACAGAACACTAAATAATAATAAAAAAAAACACGGGAAAACTGGACAAATTTGCTTAAAATTAAATTACAATTACTTCCAGTCCTTTGGTTGTTTCAACCAATAACATTGATATATTTTAGGTTTTAGTTCAGTAAGATACATCCTTTCACAACATTTCAAGAATTTAGTATATTTACTATTCAATTCAATTCCAACCATTTACACACATCTTGATTCTAAAGAATACATACTCTTACTCTGTGGTCTCAAATTTTTACCACGAAGCTCACTTATTTCCTTTAAAGTCATATGCAACCAGAAACTGTGTGTGTGTTTTATGTCCATGGCTTAGACCACAGTAGTTTTGTGCCTGATTTTGATATCCAAATTATGGGTATCAGGAGTAAGCTGTTGCAAATTATCTTAAGACAAATATACTTTTGTTTCTGAATTTAGAAAGTCGCCCAGATATACTGAGCCTGATGGTTAGGAGGTGACATTTAGGATGACATCAGACATAAAATGTCTGGGCAATGTCAAACCACTTCTGGATCATCTGCCAAGAACGTATATGAACAGGTCCCAGTCCGAGAAAAGGATGGAAGGATCCTGTTCATATGGACCTGTCGTCAGACAGAACACTAAATAAATAATAAATAATAAATAGATCATATACATAAACAGCTGAACCGATGCCGTGTCTGAATTTACATTAGCCAACATCTGGCATTTGTACGCTAAGATAAGGCATCCTTGCCATCCACATGAATTCGGCAGTAATTTCCAAATGTTCTCCCGATGCAATTATCAGAATATTTATTTCGCTGTATATAGAGGCGTTGTTCAAGGCCTCCTAATTTATCGTATGCAGTCCCGCACAACAGTTATCACTCGTACTTGGAATCTTCTTCATCTCTTGCCTTCTTTTTGCTCCATATTACACCTTTTTCCATGTTTCCATTTCTGGGCGTGACTGTTCTCCATTAAAATAATTTCTACATGCACACAATCAAACCAGAAATTGGCTCTTAGTCCGTTAATGCACAACATAATTCATCATCCCATTAGAAGTAAGTATATTTTTTATTGTTATTATAGTGCGTACAATTCAACAATTCTGTCAAGCACACAACGGATAAAGTCGTTAACGAATTTATCAGTTGGCTACAGGAAAACGGAAGTTGTGGTTTTAAACTCAATCTGCAGAACAGAACCCAATAACACCAAAAGCTCCCTTCTTTATATTCAGCGATTTGGATTTCACTTAACGACTTAAGCCATTGTTTCAGTCGGAATGTTTCCTTCACGAGGCGAACCGTGTCTAAACAATTCTTCCGACAATGTGCTAGATAAATATTTTCTATCGTACTAGAGAAACAAATCGACAATCCGGGATGACACGTACGGGCATACAGGATGCATAGAGAAGATAAGAAATGCGTACAAAATTTTGGGTTGAAAGCCTGAAAGGTACAAACCACTCGGAAGACATAGGGAAATGGGGTTGGACGATATGAACTGGTTTCATCGGGCTCAGGGTAGACACCGTTGGCCTTCGAGTTCCATAAAAAGCGAGTAATGTCTCAGCTGCTGCCGATATTTTTACTAATATCTCCCACGCCACTCTCGAACCAACAAATTCGACGACGTGCGAAATACAGAACCGACAAAGCAAACTTTCTCTCCTACCTTTTGCGTTGTCCTCACGGGCTGCAGGAGCGCGTCACAGCTGACGTCTTCGTCTCCACTCAAAGTGCTGCACGTGCTGCAATCAGACGCCTTCCTCTCCGGAGTCCTGAGAGCGTATTCCGTATCCACAACACTCACACTTCCACTCACAGAACTAGCGGCACTCGTGCATTCCGAGCAAGACACATCTTTCAGCTGGTCCAGTTCTTCAAGTGTCACCGACGTAAAGCACGGAACATCGTCTGAATAATCGCTCACTACAACTGAGGGAGTCCTCCAATATCGGTACTGTGGATTCGAATTCGATTCGTCGTCATCCGTTTGGAAACTTTGTGCAGATTGGCGTCTGAGTTCGACGAGATATTCGTCGTCATCAGGGTTCTCACCGCCTTCAGTTGTGCTACTCTTTCTACTGCTAACTTCATCTTCAACAACTCCACTTTCACAGCTTATCATACTCGTCAGCTTCCTAAATTGTCTCGGTCTGTATCTACAGGGGTATCCATAATTAGCAAAAGATGGAACCCGATTTCTGTAATCGTCCAGATCAGAACCAATTGTCTTTGTTTCCACAGAACTTCTATCCCAGCAGAAGTCTCCGGCGCTGGCGAGAAATCTCTCCCTCTCTGCGTCACTATCAGAGACATCATCAAACACTGCTTCCTTTGTATGATTCCGCATTTCCTCAAACCAAGAGTCACCATTATTTGTACTGTCGACACTGCTTTGTCTACTGACAGAATCTTTCCGAGGTTCGTACCTCCACATATATTTCAAGCTATCAAAATCAAATACGATACCCGATTCTTTGTTCACGTTGGGATCAAACACCATAGCTTTATCACAAGGTGAGTCTTCGGCACTGGCAAAATCTAAAATTTTTCTATCAATATTCTTTTCTCTTCGTTGAATCCTAGGGTCCTTCATTCGCATCCTTTCGTCATCACTCGGCAACAGACATACTGCAGAATCTGAGCTGATGCATCTTCCATACTCATGTCTGTTCACCTGACCTTGAAAGTCACTATCGTGGTCATTACTTGCAGGTGGCCATGTCCATCTGGCGTTTGACTTTTCCACCAAACTTTTGACAATATCATCTTCGCTGCTGCAAGGAGTCAGGCTGCTCTCGGGTGGCGACACAACAGAGCAGCCCTCGTCTGACGCCGGACTCGCAGATCGCTTTGAAGAGCTTGGCAACATCAATTTATGGCGACCTTCGTCTCCTGAGGCAGATATTGTAGTGCCACCTACGTGGCTAATGTTCCGTGTGACGTCGACTGATGGCTTGATAAACATTGAGGTCAGTGAATCGTTAGTTTGTTCCAACTCTTTGTTGTTTCCTGGACACACCTGTTGCAACTGATTAGATTCTTCTCCAACATCATTGTTCCGTTGTTGTGACTGAGCGATGTACACTGAGTCTTCCTTTATTTCTTCTTGGGGATGGGTGTTCGTGTGAACAATGGATCTGTCACACGCGTTCATTTGTTTTAGATGTTCCGCTGAATCTACAGAACTGTCTCCTGTTTCGTCCAGATTCTTGGTCACACGGCAGTCGCTACAGTGCAAATTAATCCTTGGATGTTCACTACGACACTTAACATCCACTTCTTTGTTCAATTTTGTAATATTTATAAATTCGTTTATTTTCAGTTGTCCTGTGGAATTATTTACGGGTTCGTTGGGGTATTGTTGTAGACGTTTTGTCAAATGTTCAGTAGACCCTTCGTGACCGTCACTTTGTTGTGTCGAATCGATGACGTATTCGCGGTATTGCAGATGTTCCGAAACGCCTAAACCTCCACTAAGGTCACTGCACCCTGAAGTTCCTTGTCCTTTCGGCCCCCTTTCGACATGTTCCGATGAATGTTTTTGCTGCAGTTCCACGGTTTTCCGTTTCGCGGAACTGCTAGAAAGTTCCCGACGCTGACGAGAACAATGGTTTTCTGTATTTCCCTGCTTTTCCTTTGGTCTGATCTGAATGCCCGCTTGTTTCTCTGCCAGAGCGCGTTCCTTGTGTTCAGCAATCAAGACCGTGTACTTGTGAATCAGTTTCTCTACACAAGGGAAACGCAGCACCGCTGACGTCTGTTCTGTTCTATCGACAACTTCCGGTTTGGCCCCTGCTGAATAGCTCAGACCTCCCGCCGCTATTGCCCCGGTCTTTCGCTGCCTTGCCTTATTAATCTCCTTCATGCTACATTTTTCATATCTGGACAATGTTTCTCCGACTTCCGCATCGGACTGGTGTGCCGTGCCCCTTCCAGACGTTGAAGGGTGTCTGGAGGAGCGGAAAGAGGCGTCACCCTTATAGCCAACAACTACCCCACCATCTGTTTCGACACCATTTGTCTGTAACTCGGGTCCCGTCATGCCACTGGCAACTCGTGGAGATAACGATACCAGCGACTTGTGGTGGCCAGTTCTTGAATTATACAATCTATTACTAACAATGTAGTTCTTATGATCACCACCAGGAACGGCAGTGACCGGCTGTTTCACGGAGAGCGAATCTGCGCTGCATAAATTTAAATTATAATCGTTACGTACATCGTTGGTCGTTGTACCTGTAGTTTCAATATTTCGCTTCGTACTATATGCAGAACAAAAACTGTCTCTCAATTCAGGATGTTTACTGACCATTGCGGGAATATTTCCCGATTTTATAGAAGGATTAACATTAAGTTTTTCAGAAGAATTTGATCGTATCAGATGATTCATGTATCGTCTATAGGAGCCCCTCGTGGGAAAGGTTGGCGGTAGAGACACAGCAGGCGCCATTTTAGAGCATATATTTCCTCCATTTTGTCCTTGTTTCTGCCCCTCTCGTTCTGTTGCCGAAATGAAAGCCGTAGCTGACCATGGAACTTGTTCTCCCTCCTCCAGGCGACTACTCCAAAAACCGGCAACACTGCAAAACAAAAATGCAACTACTTCAAAAGTTGTCAAATTACAGCCTTAATTTTATTTTTAATTTTCACTTCTACATGCATCTATATTTTCCAAGAGGTTCCAACCCTTGATCTTTCCCGAGGTGTTTATGAATTTCACGCTTACTAATTCATGCATAATGCCCGAAAGTCATCGGAAGACACAGACCGCATTTCGCAAAACTGTAAAAATCCGCGGTTGGCGATACTTCGTTTTGTACTGTGCGGCAGGATCGAGGAATCAAAGTAAAGCTGTTTCCTGACCTACAGTAACTAGCACAAATGAAGCGTAAGTTATTACCGATATGAGGACAATACCTTAATATAAATGTGACAAGAGTTACTTGTTGCCACGTAGATATGTTTATCATAACAGTTCACATGGCACAGGGACGTGCGATTTGTTGCGAATGATAAAACAAGACACTTTTGTTTCGAAATACTGCCACTGTCTCTAGAGGTTCTATTAGGGGGCCTCGGGGTGATAATCACTGGCCTAGGCGATCAGAGTTGTCTCTTTAGTTAACATTTAGATAAAACTTTGTAAGCATTTCTTATCGCTCTCCTGCGTGCTACATGCCCGCTCATATAATCCTCATGTATTTCGCCATCGTAATAACATAAAACGAAATATGTCCGTGTTGAAGTTGATCATTAAACAATTTTGTTCAGTCGACTCTACCTTCTCCCTCCGATCCAGACAACCTACTCAACGAACTTTTCTCACATAACCTCAATTTATGTCATTGCTTTATTTGCAGAATTTATAAAAATCTGTCGATAAATTGAAAAAGTACATTTATAAAACTCGGAATGATAGCTGATGTTCCAACTGAATCGCTTGTGTGTTCAGGCGATGTTATAGTCGGAGCAGTAGTTTTTGGCCGGTGGAAATTTTCAAGGGGAAGGCTAGGAGCGAGTCACTTGTGCTGACTGCACCGAGGAGCCCAAACACAAGAAATACACTGACCGTGCCACCTCAGGTACACAGAGTAGGCCCGTCCGCCAGCTTCTCCACCGACCAAAAACTACTGCGCAGACTACAACGCATTTAATGGTCAGTGATAGAAAGAGCAGAAACCCAGGAGGGTCGTCATGTCCTCTCGTTACTTGAGTAATGACACAAGAAGGATGAAGCTTATCTGAAATTGCGTATCGTTCATGTCGAGTGGGGTAATGACATTGGAAATATAACACGTTTCATATGCAAAACATTTATAGTTTGGCACCAAAGAAGCGATGGAAAGACCGATTCTCTCTAGACATGCAGCTGTGGCTCTGTGATGTTGCCAAATCCCTTACGCTTACACCTGTCCAACATTATACATTAACAGTACTTATTTAAGTTGGCAACGCAGTGCACTGGCCCACCAGTGACCGTATATAGAATCTTAAAATGTCAGCAATTAGCCTTTCTTTAGGCACGTACTTCATGAAACATGAAATGTAAGACGCAGATTATGCATCCAAGTCATTCCTATCACAAAATCAAATTCATCTTCTACGATGATGCATAAAATGGGTCTCTGGCGAACAAGCCTTTACTGTGTAGAAGTTACATCAGGTGTGGAGAAATTCTGGTGCCCAATTTAAGATAATTTCGTTTAATCCTTTACCTTCCCCAACGTATTAAACATTATAAACGGCGTTTAAAATTAAGTAAGAGAAGAACTTCATAAGAAAAAAACAGAGAACGTAGATTATCTGGCGTTATGGTATTAACAAATAGATAATTTACAATTAGCGGTAAGCTACTGCATATACACGAGAAAGTTACTGATTTACTAATTACTATCTGCTCTTCAACAGGTGGCAATACGTTTAAATAAAAGCTATTACTGTATACAATATCTGAATTAAGTATTCTCTCTTCAACCATAACATTGCTAATTTAAATATTTCATTATTTAAATATTTTTTTCTTTCATTGCGTAAAATCATGTAGGACACTAGTACGGTTAAAATTAATGACCACTTTAATCGGTGTATGGGTTGTTCACATTAAAACTACTAGTTGTGCACTTTTCTGCTCAAAACACGTAAGGCAACAATATGATTGCAAAAAATTAATCTATTAAATATGTTTCACTGGCGGTAATTAATCATCATTGAGAATGCTATGAGATGGATCACATTTTTTAAAAAGTATCAAATTAGTTTGGCGGTATGCACAGCGATCACCTGCACCTCCCGTGGTGGTAGGGGGGCCGCGAAACCATGTCAAGGTTCGACGAGTCTCAGGCATGTGCTTGCCCGGCGAACCCCGCCCACCAGTTCCGGCTGAATTAATTGAAAAAAGTCCGATGGTTGTTACCGACTGAGCGCCTAGTAGAAGCTGCTGCCATCATTTTGTAGTAGTTCCAGTACCGCTGCGGGTAGATGGCAGCATAATATACGCTTGCTTTGTCTAATATTTTTTCCAGCGAATGGAAACAAAGCCGTCAACATCTTATAACGTTTCTGACCACGACCAATATTGTATGCTTCCTTTCTTTACAAAATAATTAAATTTAATTTAATTAGGTCAGAATATATAGTCTATAACTTTGTAATAATACCAAATGTAACGAAATATGTTAATTACCAATTGACCAAATTAGATTGGAAATTAATATTAATGAATTTATCATCAAGCATGTTAACGTTATTATAAATTTCAATTGCAAATACCGAACAGCGAACACATTTACTATGTGAAAAAAAAAACATAAAAATTCTGAAGATTCAAAAGTTCTTTATGTGTACTCTAATATGAAGGTTCTACAGGTAAAAACCGATATAAACTTTCCTTATAAATAACACCTCAAAACAATGCAGTTCCTCTTATAAGTTATGTAATTTTAAGCTAACCATGACATACTTTTAATTGCATGAATTATGATTTTTAAAAAATCTGAGGTAACATAAAGTGGCAAACTTTCTCCCTATACTTTCAAGTCCGTTGGAGTCAATGGTGACAGGAATTACAAATCACAGATTCACAGGCATATTCAAGCTTCGTTCTAACTAGGCTGCTTCCTATGAACTGCGTAAAAAACTATAAAATTATAAATGGCACAGTTAAAAGTTAGCACATTAGCTTTCCTGGACAAAGAAAAATTTTGTTCTATCAGCATTAAGTTTTTAAATTATTTATTACACCAATTTTACGCACAGTTAAATGTAACAGCAAAATCAATCAGTTATTAATATAGGTGATACGGCGAAAATATAAAAATGTAACAATTTTTAATTTTACTAAATAATAATATATTCAATTATATATAATCAGTCTTTTAAATGCAATAATACAATCAGCATAATTTTCATGTCACCCAAATTCAAAATTTTATTTTTACTCAAACCGCTTAATAAGTATCGTACTTGTTCAAATACGTCCCGTCGGAGGGGCCCTGGGGCCCGCTTGTGCCCCGAAATTATATTATTAGAGCCTCTCTATTTGGATGTACACATCAGCCTCTCAGGGCGATAGAGTGCTCTGATGATGGAAGCATCAAAAACCTCTGAAACTCAGTACACGGATGCAACAACCCAGGATAAAATAATCTTCACTGAGCAGATCACTTTTTTTCCAAACAACACACGATCTGCGGGATTTCAAACCGCAGCCAGCACAGACAGCTTTACGCGTCATACATGGCGTATTAGAAACCAACTTGATTTGTTCCAGTGCATTCAGGCTGCCATGTGGCCCTAATATCATCCTGAACGGAGATCGCGAATGTAGAAGAAACAAGTCTTTCCTTCCTCCCTCATCCGACACAGCATTGCATCTGCAGCACAATGCACAGTTAACGTACAGAGAAAGCGCTTTACCTGGAACTATTAAACATAAGTTCCTTGACCAGTTACGGAGTTTGACGTCATAACGACCCGAGCAGAGAAAGAGACTGACGTTAGTGACAACATTCCAAGCTCCAGGGCTGCCAACGCTCCTGAAACTGACACCAATCTCTCTTTGGTGACCAGATGAGGCGGATTTCAGGTCAATTACCACTGCTCGAGGTTCTCGTAAAACATTATTTAATCAAATAACAATGCCTGCAGGTAATCAGAGACAGCCGAACTCCGGTCAGTTTTTTTAACGTAAATACGTCTATATTTTAGGGTCAGTGTCATTCGGCAAAAATGTAACGAAAAAGGGAAACGAAAAAGTGTAACTTCATTGTTATGTTACCTTGGAAACGTCATCTGTTTATCAACAAATAAACAACAATGGTTACCTACATAGTTACATTACATTACCTTACATTACCTTACCTTACCTTACATTACATTACATTACTTTACATTACATTCAGCTACCACAGACCCATCTTAAGCGTAACTAATTCAAGTTAAATAAGCAATGTCTTAATCAAACTTATCTCAATTTTAAAGCATGTATAAAGGTAATATTTAGAATAAAGCCAATATGTAAACTTCCTTTCCGTATAGACGTGTTTACGTCAAATTCTCCGGAACCGTGGTTCGACTGACAACTTTTTCCCCGAAGAAACTTTCCCAATTTCATAGTTTATACAACACATATTTGTATTTGCCATTTATATTAACAAGGTAATTTGATTCTACAAAGAATTTGTGTCCTGAAAGAGAAGTAACAGAAACACAGAACAAATACGAAAAGGGAAATTTCGTGATATTTACTGTTTTTACAGTGTTATTTGTGTGACCAAATCAAAAAGGGACATATAGGAGCTGCGAGCAGCATGCATGGAAAGTTTTAGTCGGAATACTTGAAAGAAAGAGATCACTCGAGACACATCGGTGAAAGTCGAAATGGCTTCGGATGAGGACCAGTGGCAGATTCTTTTACACGGTAATACAAAACCTTCGGGATCCTTAAAAGGCTTCTCAAAAATGATTTAGTGCATAATTAATGTTCAGTTGGCCTACAGCTGAAGTACGAATGTTAGATAAAATGTGTTCTATTTTGAGTTACTATCAGTGAAATTTATCGGAAAGTAGGATTTGAGGTTTT